AATAACCAGTCTATAATTAATCTCGTTGGAAAAAAATGTGATCCTATGTAGTTATGTTTTGTTTTAAGGTTTCAGTTTTTAAAGTTTCCACATTCCTCTTGAAATCCTCTCTACATTCATTGAATTCATAATTTCCTACAGATTTTCATTAAAAATATCTTAGTCATTTGAGAGTCATGGTTTACTAATTCTAACATTTCAGATCTGTTCTTACGGACTTGTTTATGAGTTCTTGACCATGACTAATAATCTCCTGATCCTTTGGCTGCCTGGTAATATTTAATTATACACAAGATGCTTTGGATACTGCATTATAGATTTTGGATCATCTTTTGCGACCCAGCACAGAACCTACGACCACCAGGCTCCTTCAACTTCCTATGAAGAGTGTACTTTTTTGACTCAGGGCCAAGTTACATTTTGGTTATACTGCCTTAATCCTGTAGAGACTTTCAGCTTTACTAGGCTAAGTCTAGGAACCCTGGTAGTGGTTAAATCTCTGGCTGCTCACCAAAAGCTCCATGCTTCAAACCCACCAGCTGCCCTGTGAGAGACAAATGTGGCTGTCTGTTTCCATAAAGATCTACAGACCTGGACACTGAATGGGGCCCTTCGGGGCCCTGATGGCATAGTGACTTTTTTGTGACTGGGCTGCCAACTGCAAGTTGGAAGTTCAAACTCACCAGCCTCTTTGTAGGAAAACAGATGAGGCTTTCTACTCCCATAAAAACGTAGTCTTGCAAACCGACAGGGACAGCTCTACCATGTCTTCTAGGTCACTAGGAGTCAGAATTGACTCGATGGCACTGGGTGTAGGTTTGGGATTTGTTGTTGTTGGTTTGTTTTATAACAGGGTCGTCCTCTTCTGTCCTTGAACTGCGACATGTAACCGCTGGGCCACCAGGGCTCCATAGTCTGTCCTATAGGGTATGTTGTACTTGACTTGAGAGTAACACCTGGTAGTGGTAGAATAGGTTTATTTGAGTACCCTGGATGGGGCACACAAAACATAAAGGATGCTGGGAGACCTGGTCAGGTGACAAAGGCTGTAACTCTTAGTTGATAAGGTTTCAGTGAAAAGCCCAAGTCTCGACTTGATTCTGTCAGGCTTCCGGCTGTTGGTTTGTGCTGGTCAAGAATGCGTAAACAAGTCAGTAAGAACAGATTTGAAATGTGAGAATTAGTAAATCATGACTCTCAAATGACGAAGATTCTCATCCCAGGTGTGTGTCCTTTGGGCATCTGCCAAGGCTGTGAGCAGTCTGTGTGTAGATTGGGAGCTCCCTCTGCTGGCTCCTGTTCTAGAAACGCCTGCCCCTTGTTCAGAGATGGGTAACTTTAAATGTCTGCAACAGAAAGACCCCGGACCTCCACCTTGAGCACTAGTTTTTCGTGGGCTGCATAGACTAGACCATGACCTGAGGGTGAAGGGGTGTGTTTGTATCATTTCGTTGGTTTCTTTTCTTTCAAAGGTCATATCTTCTTTAATTTTTTCTTGTTTTATGTCCATCCCCAATGCTTCAAAGTAGTTCTTTTTTAAAGATTCTGCCGAGATCTATAATTATTATGGCAGCAGGGTTCATTTGCCATAAACTATTCCACCATTACCAGAACCAGAAGTCCCAATACCTCTTTGTAGTTACTGTGTGTTGGTTCCCTGGTAGTTCCATTCATGCATGGAGTCGGTTATTCAAGCAAATACAATTTCACAGTAAAGTCTTTCATTGGATCTTAATGCTGAGAGCGCTCTCCATGAACAAGTTTATTTCGTTTTCACGCCGTGTCACAAAAGGCCACCCTCACTGAGAGGAACAAAACTTCGTAGGAAAAGAGAATTGCATCTCAAAGCCTCACCTTGCTCCTTGAGAAAATGCCTTGACACTCACACCCTGACCATGACGATTCGCTTGGGCCGGCACTTGTCACCTGAGCAGGTGTCCCAGCACTCTCCATGGTGTGTGTCCCATCCAGGTTTGCTCGTCCTCCCTGATGACGCTCCCAGAGCGCCTGCGGCTTGTGAATCAGGGCGCTAACCTTGGGTTATCCTTTAAGAAGGAGCTTCCGTAGAGTGTCCCCTGGGGGCCAGGCCTCGGAAACTTCTGCACGTCCGCTCTTGGTAAGTATTCAGTGGGAGGCCAGCACTGGGCAGGCCATCAGGGTTAATTCACTTAGAGCAGTGGTTCTCCACCTTCCTCATGCCGTGACCTCTTAATACAGTTCCTCATGCGGTGATGACCCCCCAACCATAACATTATTTCTGTTGCTACTTCATCACTGTCATTTTGCTACTGGGAAAGGGTCATTCGATACCCTAAAGGGGTCGTGACCCACAGGTTGAGACCCGCTGATAGAGCAGAGACAGGACAAGCAGATGTGCGCATGCTACTTTAAAAATGAGAATAATGTGATAAAAAATGAAAGAGAAGAACACATCTCTGAGCGGTCAGTGAAGCCCCAGCAGTGTAGTGGTTAAGCCTTGGGCCACTAACTACAAGGTCAGCAGTTCAGACCCACCAGCCTCCCACTGCCGTAAAGATTTCCAATCTCAAAAAACCACAGTTGTACTGAGTCAGAAGTTTGATGGCAGTGCGTTCGGCTTGTTTGCGTGTGTGTTTGTTTTCACCACCTTCAGGTAACCTTACCCTACAGGGGCCCTGGTGGCATAGTGTTCCACGTTGGGCTGCCATCCTCAAGGTTAGTGGTTTGAAACCACCAGCCACTCTGTGGGAGAAAGATGGGGCGCTCTGCTTCCGTAAAGACGGCGGCAGTTCTACTTGCCCTGTAGGGTTAGGTGACCAGACGTCCCAATTTTTGGCATTTTTTTAAAAGTCCTGATTTTTTTAAAGAATGCATGACAAGCTAGGGAAGGGTCTATTTGGTCCATATAGACCAAATTTTTAATCAAGAACCACCACGCCTGCCTCCCGGTCAATGGTGTCGCACTTCAAATCTGGTCACCTTACCGTAGGGTCACTGTGAGTTGGTATGGACGGGATGGCGGGGAGGACACCATGACTAGTTCCGTGAGACAAGAAATCCCATAGCTAATTGAACTTGGCCTCCAACACTAACACACAAAGATGCCCCTATTCGTCTGGCGCTTGATGACGCACTCTTTCCTGCTGCCATCAGATACTTTTCACAGCAACATCTTACCTCCCCAAAGAGAAAAGAACGTTCTCGGGTACGCTAGCTCTGTCTTGTATCTCTTCCCCCAGCATATCTCCCCAGTGCTAAACATGTGCCCGAAATACACTCACGGATGGCTTTTGAGAAGGAGGCCTACTGTGTCAGACTGAGGACTGACCTACGGCAGGTAGCAATGGTTGTGACACCATTTTCCCTTTGTTTACCTTTCTCACCCGGCTGACCACTCAGTCCACCTGTGCGCCATCTACAGGAGCTGAGAAGTCCCCCACAGTTTGCACGTTATCTGAAACCCTGGGAAGTGTTTTCCTTCTATATATGTGTTGGCTTGTCCTTCCAGGTCAGGGTCTCACCCCTATGATTCTTTCCAGGGGGAGCGGCACTCACCTTTGGTCCTTGGATGAATGACACTCCTTCCTCTCTCTTCGCCCTGTTCCCCAGAACAACGGTCATGGTGGAAGTGTTTAGCAAGGTGAGGCTGTCTCTTTGACCAGCTAAAATGCATTTCCTAATTTGGTGCTCACCCTCCTGAGCAGCCTTCGAAGCCAGGTGCTCATCTTCGGGATAATCTTCACCTGAGCAGTCAAGCTGCTAGATCAGGGCATGGAAGAAGGAAGGATACACACTCCACTCACAAAAGAAGCAACCACCCACGTATCTGGAAGGAGAGCGTTTCATTTTACTATTGAACCTCCCAACGTTTGGGGGGTGCTTGAAAAAGAATACAATTGGGCTGCTGAGTCAAATCCAGACGGTGTCTCTCCAACAAGCGGAAGCCAGCAGGCTGGTGCTTACACGTGAACATCAGCGCAGATGGAAATTCCCAAGATGCCCAGGAGCCCGGCCTTGGCGCAGCCTCCAGCGCCAACTTCCTCTGGAAGGGGGAAAGGTTTTAAAGGAAGAGAGCGCATTAAGAAACAGGGTGTTCGAATGCAGCAAGGAAATGCGTTATGCAAACTTTTTGACCACGGGTTTTTTATATATATATATATATATATATATATATATACACATTCCTAAAACACAAGGAATCCATATATATACATACTCCTAAAATACAAAGAATCCATTGACCCAAGATTTAAGCTATACTTACATTTCAAAAGATCATAATATACTAGCTTTTGTAAGACTGACAATTCCTAGGCGAGATGACTGGCTAAATTTCCGTTGATGCTGCCGCATTCTAGGTTGATGCCACCCATGCATGCATTGACTCATGAGGGTCCGTGTTAAAAGTATCTTGATGGAATTTTTTCTGGACGGTGGTAATGAATGCTATCTATGTTCTTTGTTTACCCTCTTGTGCTCTGGGAAGTTCCTTCTGTTGTGTTCATCAACTGCTGACCCCCGCCTCTCTTTCACTTTGGCCCCTCTGCTGTTTCGAGAAACTTGATACACAGCTGCCAGCAATGACATGTCCTATGTGGCATGGATGGACCGGGGTGAGTCCCTGTCTGTCCGAGTGCTTCGCAGACACTTTTCGGCAACCATCCCATTCTGGATATTGTGAATGTTGCCTAGTGACATCCTTTTTTTGTTTTGTTTTTTTACCATACCCAAAGTATGAAAAATCTAAGGGCTTTTTCCTGAAATGGTGACATGTGAGAAAAGAACAGAAGCCACGAGAGCTTCCTTGCCACCCCAGAAACATATCTACTTTCCCCAGCAGACTATGCACTCCTTAGAGATTAAAGTTCAATTCCTTTTTTGGTCCCCAATATTGAACACAATCTACACACCTTGTAGATGTGTCTTTCCCAAAGCAAACTGAAGTCGAGCCACCGTGTGAATATAACTGTCTTACACACAGCACCTAGCAGCAAGCATGGCCCAGCACTGTCAGAAACACTCGATAAGTCGGTACTCACGTGTCTTTTCAACCACTTCCCCCTTGTACAAGGGAATGTGTTTGCAGAGCTGCTCAATGGGGGACCCAAACAGGAACCAGTTCACATCTGTGATCAGAGACTCCAGAGGATTGTACTTGACCCATGTGTATTTGTTGGAGAACATGGTGTTCAGAGCCTAGAGCAAGCAGTATAGCAGAGGGGTACAAGATCAAGCAAAGGCCTGAGAGCAAACTTTAACTGTTATTCCTCTTGCAGCTCATTACACAGAAGGCAGCCGGGGCCCTTAAGATTGCAGCTCGTTCTGAAAACTTGGTCTGCAGAAAAGTCTCCCTCTGACTGTGATTTTACTCCTGGTCACAACAAAGCCCAGATGTGGGAAGTCCCATGCCCAAGGGAATGTGGATGAGAAGTTCAGGAAGGAGAATTAGGGCCCAGGTCTCTCGTTTGCACACGCCTTCTAGCTTATTATGCCTTCGCGTCTGTCACTGAATAGTATAACTTCATTCCCCCAAGTGCTTTTTCTTGGATCCTTTTCTAAGAAGAGAATCTGTTTAGTCCTTTCTATAAAGAGACTGCAATTTGTTCAAAATTCTTGTGCTCAGGACTTTGGGTTGAAAATAAACACTTTATAGGTACTATCCATGGTGGTTATGATAGGGATCTTCTCCACGTGATAGAAGATGCTTCAATGATGAGAGCCCAGGTTTTCCCCCTCTACATATTGGTGCTGCCTAGTTTAAGCACGGAGAACATTCTACCAAGGGACACCAGAATTACCTTCCTCTCGTAGATGTACCGTTTGAGTTGGTCCAAAGCAGGGATGGCTTTATGGTTCATTTTCAGGATGTAGCAGGCCCTTCGGGACAGCAGCCTGGAAGCAATGTAGCCCTGAGGCAGCAAGAACAGAGTCAACGCCCATCTCCAGTTCTCTGGTCTCTGAACTTGGCATGCGTGATGCCGGAGCTTTAGAGGAAAGACTGACGTGTCCACAATGAGTGCACGTACTTGCTTTACAATTTGCAGCCCAGACTGTCCACTTGGCTTCCTTTATGTATCATTTTATTTGTTCACGTGTCATTTATACCTTGTTTAGAACACTGTAAACCCATGATTTAGGATCCGGTTTTCACGTCATAGGACGAGGGGCCAGTGATCTGGACCTTGAAAAGATCAGGAGAGAGGGACTCCCAGTTTCCTTCTCTTAATGGAATTCTATCCCCACCCCAATCTGGAGCAGCAACAATATTCTTTAGAACCATGCTGCTCAACATGACCTTACTCTCTACAACAACGGTGTAACATCAATTTCAAAATAAATGAAACTAATTGGTTTCGCTCCACTGTTGCACATTTAAGTGTTTCATGGCTGCGGCTGGCTAGTGGCTACTATATTGGAAAAGTGAAGATACAGGACATTTCCGTCTTCCAAAAGAGTTCTATTGGGCAGCGCTGCTTTAGAACCTCTCCTATACCCACCCACCCCCAACATATACTCATACATTTCTTAGTCTAGTCCCCTCTCCTTAGGAGCCCAGGTGGCATTCTGGTTTCATACTGAACCGCTAACCACGGAGCCTGCAGTTCAAAACCATCAGCAGCTCTGCAGGCAAAAGATGAGACTTTCTCCTGCCATAAAGAGTCCAGTCTCAGAAACCCACAGGGGCCGTCCTCTTTGGTCATGTAGGGTCCCTGTGAGTCGGCATCAACTCGATGGCAGTGAGTTTTTCTCTTCTTCTTTGCCACCTTATCTCTTTCTCCAATTTTCTCCAGCCTTTCCCCACCTCAAATCCTCTCGACCTCGAGACAAGATGGGCTGGGGGAAGTTAAGATTAGAAGAACGGTGAAGGGGCAGGACTTCAGAAAAGACCGTGGTACTGCAGAAGCCCAAGTCATTGCATCTCTGACACCGGAACTCTCCGAGTTCCCATTTTTCAATCCTCACAAGTAACACCAGTTCCTGAAATTCCCAAGCAGCCTGAGGTCAAATTGGATGAGGGTGAAAGAAAGCTAGACCGTATCGTCACCACGCTCCACAGAGGCAGGCCCTGGGCCAGGAAACGAGACCTCGTCCTAACCGCATCTTGAAGTAGATCCGCCAGAATGGGTGCGAGCAGTCTCACTCACTCTTGAGTGCAGCAGATATTCCAAACCTTTCTAATGGTTTAAAAGACCAATGGTGCCGCACAGGAAGGTCATTGCCATGAAGAATTTGCTACAAGGAAGGGGTTATTTCAAGCATTTCAAGGGGAGGACAAATTTAGATAATATCCAAGGGCTAGTAGGAGCTGACCTTCTGTCAGACGTTCATAACCTCAGGTTGCCTGTATTTAAAGACACTTTTGGAATTTCCCTGGCCTCTGCTTAAAAACTATTTTAGGGCAACATCCAACAGCCTTTCAAACAGCCGCTTTTAGAGTCTTCTGCTTTCATAAGCATCGGGGAACTTCCAGCCAATGGCAGGAGGCTTGTGAAAAAAACGATCAGAAAATTCAAGGAAAGTTTGGCCAAAGGGCCAGGGAGGTGGGCTATGCCTGGCCTGCCCCACAATTCCCCACTCTCCCAAAAGCTAGCTCTCAATCAGCGTGGGCAAAATAAATGGAAAACAAACAAAATTGAATAAATGAGTGAAGGACAGGATAAATTTTCTGAGTATGTTTTGAGGCTTTTGTTAATATCAGTAACTAGAACTTGGATAGAATTTGATTATGTTACTTCCATACTTTTGTTCTTATGTAAGAAATGGGGTTTGCAACAAATTCTATATCCATAATTAAATATGTAGGATTGTTCCAGTTTTCTGCTATGTTTTATTGTTCTTTTTCTGCATGTTCTGTATGCAAAGCCCTACTTCATTCATGTACTCATCCAATCACTCATTCTCACAATAATTCTGAGAGCCTGGTGGTGGCATAATGGCTACATGTTGGGCTTCTGACGGAAAGGTCAGTAGTTCAAAACTACAAGCCTGCTCTAAGGGAGAAAGATGAGGCTTTCTACTCCTGAAAGCATTACAAATTCAGAAACTCACAAGAGCAATTCTACCCTGTCCTCTAAAAATTCACTGCCATCGAGGCAATGCTGACCCATCCCAGCAGCATTTCTGAGAAGGTAACTGTTGATGGAAACAGAAAGCCCACCCTTTCTTCCTGCACCTCAGCTTCCCAGGGCCACTGGGAGTCAGAATTAACTTGACGGCGGTCATTTGAGGAGGTTTTTATTTTTGTTTTTTGAGAAGTAGCAGATACCATTTTGAGTACTTTGCAGACACTCCCTGAACCCTTCATGGGACGATGTCATCACTCTTGTGTTTGCCTGCAGGGAACCTTGGGCAAATGGGCATGCTCCCAGACTCAATTGTTTTCTTTGACCTGGGTGAGTCTGATTGATTGATTAATTACTTAAGGGGAGAGTAAAGGTGAGGAAATCATTCAAAAAGGGCAGTTCACAAACAAATGTTTCATAAATGGCTGTCGCTCTTCTATTTAAAACCCAAGCCCTGCTGTGTTCGAAGAGCCCGCTGCGCCTTACATGTTTGTAGTCGAAGATCGTGGTGGAGGAGCAGGAGCCTGCGTGGACGTTGATGATGGCGGTGTTTTTTTCATTGTCAATGGTCATGGTCTCCTGAATATTGCCACCATTGTCGAGTGCACTGATGATGTTGTACACCTAGATTTACAACAGACATAAGTGATAAGCATTTAAAGAGCACCTGCCCGTCCCCGAGCCAAAGAAAGCTTTCCACCTGCTATCAATAAGGAACTGGAGTTTGAAACCTCTCTCCCAGGATCCCAGACCAAAGCCCATACAAAAATAAGACGCAAATGCTTCCTCACTGTTTGCGATGAGAACAAGAGCGAGTGGCATCAGAGGAGAAATGAGGTTGACCATGTTTTCAAAATGTGAGTTACTTTTTTGGAGGTATGCTGGTTGGAGAAAAACAACCAGCCCCACTGTTTCCATTGTTGCTTATTTTGGAGATCCCACCCAAAGGTGGCAAATGGACTCTCTCTGGTCAACTCAGATAGTCTTG